TGCCTGTCCCGCTTTCGATGCAGCACACAGCCCCGGGGCTGCATCGCTGCTCTGCGCAATAAACGGCGCGCCCGTTGTTGCGTTGCCCGCTGTCGGCGTGGCCAACATCTCGGGGATAAAACCGGCATCGTCATAATGACTCTGCAGAGATGGATGGCGCCCCGTGAATCACGTTGGCCGACCTGCGCGCGAAGCGAAGCGCGCCAGCCTCAAACGAGGCAGTTTGGCCGGCGCGCCAACCCTGACGGTGTAGCGCCCGGACAACACCGGCAGGACCAACGGGACCGGCATCAGGGCCGGCGGGGGAGTCGAATAGCGCCCGTTCTTTTCTCTTTGCCCTCCGGGTGGGGCTCCGGGGGCGAGGCAAGAAGCAAGGCAACCAAGGCAAGCAAGGGTGAGACCAGGATAGCGTGCGAACGTGCCATATTGGGTACCGCTACCTGCTGCTGGGGCTGGGGCTGGGCTGGGCTGGCTGCCTTGTGCCTCGGAGGCACCTGCCCGGGCTTTGGCCCGCCTTGCTACTCCTTGCTACGCTTTGCTCGCAGCCATAAGGATCGCCCGGTTCCGCTTCCTGGGCGGAGTGGCGGAGGGAGGCCAGGCCTGCCAGGCAGGGAGAGTCTCTAGATCGGGGCGCGGGGCGCAGCGGGGCGCAATGCGGGGCAGCCGGGGGGTGGGGTAGGTCCGGGTGGGTCGGGCTGCTTGCCGACCTTCTTGGCGGCCAGCTACGCCACGCGCCGCCCCGTACAGTGGGCCAGTAGACTGGCGCAGGCGGCCGAAACTCCAGGCGCGTTCAGAGTCACTAAACAGGACTCGATCCGAACATGTGACCCCACCAATGGATTCGTCGTTCGGAGAGCAATCCATTGGTGGGGTTACCCGTTCGGTTTGAGTTCTGTTAAGCGACTCCGGATTTAAAACATTGACCGCCTCCACCGGTCGCCTGTCCCACTATGCGCCACCGACTGTCACCGTCTCTTTCTGGCTGCAGCCGGGCCGCACCAGCCAGCGCAGCCAGCCCACCACGGGCCGTGAAATGACATCCATATGTGGCTTTTGGCTTTTGGCGCCGCTTCCCGCGTCTCTTATCCGCTTAGCTCCCCGGCGCCCCCACCCCACCATGACTTGCCCGACTGAATTTCATTTTCCCGCCTACCCTGCTCCCCGCGTTGTGTGCACTGCGCAGTGGCTGGCTGGGGCGCGGCGCGCGGCAGCTTTTCTGCGTATAAATTATTTTACGGGCTGGTGCGCGTACCAATCGAAACGCAGCAACCAAAAAAAATCCTCTCGCGTGGGGAATGAACAATAAAAGGGGCGCCGTCGCCGTGGTGCCCGTCTGCGACCAAGTCTGCGACCAAGTCTGCGACCAAGTCTACGACCAAGTCTGCGACCAAGTCTGCGACCAAGTCTGCGACCAAGTCTGCGACCAAGTCTGCGACCAAGTCTGCGACCAAGTCTGCGACCAAGTCTGCGACCAAGTCTGCGACCAAGTCTGCGACCAAGTCTGCGACCGGAAGCTTCTTTTTGCTGTTTGTTGGCGAGGCCGTCCTGGCGTCTGCTGCTGCAGGCTCCGGGGAGCAATCAGGCGCGAGTCGAGACCGCGCACAGCACCGCCGAGTTTTATAGTGCCGTGGACACAAAGTCCGGCCTCGTCGTCGTGGTTGTGGTCGCAGTCGTCCTCGTCGTCGTCCTCGTCGTCGTCCTCGTCGTCGTCCTCGTCGTCGTCCTCGTCGTCGTCCTCGTCATTGTCGTCGTCCTCGCCAGGCTTCGTGCTGCCGACGGAACAAGCCCACGCTGAGCGGCGCCGTGAACGGCAAGTAATTGGATTGGCTTTCTCTGTAGCAGCCCCACTCGAAACGGAAGGTAAGGGAAATGAAAAGCAGGAAATAAAATAAGGTTGCCTCCTTCGCCTCCGCATTGGTTGGTGTACCTGGAACCTTTGGAACACGGGTTGACCGCGGTTCACCAGGTTCACGCACTCGGCTGTGCCATGGCTGTGCCGCTCCGTCCCGCGTCCGCCTCGGCGAGCATTTCGTGTGCATTGAGGGCGGCTTCTCCTCCGCCAACGCAAGCATGCGCAAGCAGCCCGTCAAAGGCATGAGGAAGAATGGAGGGCATCGCGCAGCGTCGGCCCGGTCGGCCCGAATTATCATTACGAGGACGACCTGGACGAGCTGGACGACCTGGGTGACCTGGCCCGTCCGTCCCCGCGGGCTGGCCGTCGCCCCGCGTCGCCCCACGTCGCCCACGGGGTTCCGAGTCCCGGGGGCGGGGTGGCACGGGGTGGCTGGCGGCTCAACAGGCAGTGCCTCCCTTGTATTACGCAGCCTGCGCAGCCTGTGCGCAGCCCGACGTAATCTGTTTGTGATGCAGGCGGCGGGGCGGGCAAGTAGGAGGGGCAACTTCTCCAGGTCCACTAGCCTGCACACCGCGAGCAGCACGATGTGGTGGTTCGAAAGTGGAACACTCACGACACTTTTATTGCACACGAGGAAAATTGAAAAAGAAAATGAGAAGAGAAACATTGAAGAGTTTCCCCGTTTTTCGTCTCTCGGGTGTGCACGCCTTTATGAACTCACACAAGTCAGTCCCAAAGAATTTCTGTTTGGAGTGTGCGTGCATAAGGTGGGGGGGGGGGGCTTAGGTCATGCGACTCGCTCACCTTTCCACTTATCGCGCGCGTAGGGCGGCCTAGGGTCGGGAGGGCCGGGCTCTGCTGGGCGCACACAACAACAACCCCCTCACGCTGCTGATCGCGCCTCATTTCCTTCCACCACCACACCACACACACACACACACACACACACACACACACGTGTCCCTTTTCCATTTCCCGGGTCACGCTGTCGTGCTACTTCCCGGTGGTGACACCGCGCCGCGGTGTGTGTTGTCGCGCTGCTTTGACGCTCCGCCTCGCTCGCCGCCACGCTGTCCGCTTTGCCGTCCGCTCCGCCGTCCCCGCCTTCCAATTATTGAATGCCACTCTGTCCGACCCGTTCACTCGTTTAGTGCGGCGACACAACGCCTGCGGCGTTCGGTGCGAGTGAGTGTGCGAGTGCCGAAACTGTTTCCACCCCGGGGGACGTGCCCTGGCCCCGTGTCCCTGCTCCCACAGTCCCTGCGCGTGTTTACAAAATCTGGTGGAACCGAATAACGGGACCCTGGATGTCGCGTTTTCCCGGACGCACGAAACGAAACTCGATGCATCCCGGAGTGGACACTGCTCTGTCGGGCGTGCGCGGGCTGTGAAGATGAGGCCAGGTGCGCGCGTCGCGGAGTGTCACGTTGACACGCGGTCGCGCGGTCGCACGCAGTGCCACGCAGTGCCACGCAGTGCTGCAGCCATGGCGTGGCCATGGCGTACATACATGTTGCACGAGAAAGCCGCATCCATAAAAGATGCGGCCGTAGGTAAGGTCCGGATCAGTGCCGCTCCTCCCTCCCCCTCTCTCTTTCCTTTGCACGCGCAAAACATGGAGGCGGAATGGGAAATAATGGCAAATACAAACTGAGGTGTCTCTTCGATAAAAGCTCCCTCCCCGTCTACGTGTGCGTTTGGTTCCGCGAGCGGCCGCACCTAGCAGACGACGCGTATCCCGTCGCCCTTTCGTTCACACTAAAGGTTCGAGGTTCAAGGTTCAAGGTTCGATATTCGAGACTCGAGGTTCGAGATTCGAGACTCGAGGTTTGAGGTTCGAGGTTTGAGGGTGGGGGTCGAGGTGGCCGTGCACCCCTCCCGGCCCTTTGTTTCGCTGCCCGTCCGCGCCACCTGCCTTACGGTGTAGGTGCAGGCAGCTGCCCCCCTGGGCCCCTGCGGCGCTAATTAAAGCCGAATCACAGGCTCGCTAATTTATGGAAGCGCGCGTCAAAACGCCCGGCAAAAAGGCGGAGGGGCAATTAGCGCCGGGGATTCGAACCGCGGTCCCCGGGCACGGGTTCGGACGCCTTAGCCCACCCGTCTGTCAAGCCCGACCGCGCTCGCCCCGTCAGCGGCAGCTGCTGCCCCCACTGCCAAGCCCACTGCCAGGGGCAGGCAGGCAGGCAGAGGCGCTCACGTGCCCGAGAAACTCGAGGCGGGGATTTTGCCTCTATCGGCTGCGGCCGATATTGTGGGTCCGAGGTAGGCTGGGCTTGGGCCGGCTTCACGCTCCAGCGGCGCTCTGCCTCGCCGAGCCTCGCCGTGCCTCGCCGTGCTTGTAGTTGGGACTTGGGACGCCTGGACCGCCGACCCGCGCGTCCCGGCTTCCAGGGGGGAGGGGGAGGGTTGCACAACCCCGTGCGGGGGACGGCCAAGCACAACGAATTGGATCACCGCGGTGGATTCGAGTCGGCGGCTGTGAGGTGAAGTGGGTGGGTGGGCGGCTGTGCCTCGGTGCGGGGGCGGCGGCGGTGCTGGTCCGGCAGTTCATAGTACACGGCGCGGGGCGGCCTTTAAAAACCTGTTGCGGGCGGGGTGCGGGGCGCGGGGCGCGGGGCTCGGGGCGGCGTTGGCCTGCGCTCGACGAAACGCACACAAGAGCGGCAGCGAGGCGCACAACCCCGCCAGCCCTCCCACTCGGTACGGCATCCAAGGAACTCGGCACTCGATTGGACGGAGCGCGCCTTGGGCGTGGCGACGCGGCGACGCAGCCTGCAGTGTACACGACGGGCCATTTTGCAGGCCGTCCGTCCGTGTGTTCTTTGCGCGTCGCCACTAAAACGGCGTAAATCCGGCCTGAGGCGCGGCGCTTGTAATCTCGACAATGACGGACCTCTGGCCCTGGTTTCTGTCTCCCGGGGCGACCGCCAGCACGGCGCAGCACGGCGCAGCACGGCAGCCTCAGCCTGAGCATCGTGGCCAGGCCGAGTAATGACCGCAGGGAGGGACCTATTTGCATTCCCCCTCCACCTACCCCACCTCCGCCACTGGAACGAGGCCAAGGAACAGGTGCCCCAGGTGCCCCAGTCGGGAGCGGTGCGCGACGGCGTAGTGCGAGTGCAAGGTGTGCTGTCGGGGTACTCACACTCACCGTGCACGGCGAGGTGGAACAGCAGCACGCCAAGCAGCAGCCGCTTCATGTCGGCGCGCCGCGCTGAGGCCGTCCTGCAACAACAACAACATCATCAGCATGCACGTCAACAACGGGATGGCGCGGCGTGCAACGCGCCGCCCGCCTTCAACCTTTGATATGCAACTATGCGGCGCGCAGCGCGCAGCCCAGCCAGTCCTTCATGGCGCCTCGTGCAGCCTCGTGCTTCGTGGACCATTGTTAGCAGACATGCCGAGTGGCTCTCTCTGTCTCTCTCTCTCCCACAAACACGCGCCACAGCGACCCGCCGGGCGGATGCATAGTGCCATTGTGACGGCGGCGTGGTGGCCGTCACCACACTCGCTTCCTTTTTCCGGGTCCCCCAGGTGGCCGTGTCTGGCCGTGTCGCCCTGTCCACATTGTCGCCTCTGCCGGCTGCTGAGGAGCGGCGAGCGGAGCGCCCTACAAATCCTCCAGCGCGGCGCCGGCGCCACGCCACGCCGTCTGTTATTCATATCTCGGGTGCCTCATTTTTAGCCGCCACGTCCCCGTCCCTCATCGTGGCCTCGGCCCGGACCGCCCCGTCCCCGGGTACAGCGGGGAACCTTCCACGGACACCCTTCATGGACACCCCTCCACGGACACCCTCCACGGGCAGCCGGCAGCCCGGGCAGCCAGCCAGCGCAGCAATAATGCATGCCTGCGAGCGGGGCGGGGCGGGGCAGCGCGGCCAGGGCGACCTAGCTCGCCGCACTGGGCGCGCGTCATTAATTTCTCCACAGACTGTACTGCATGTTTCTGCGTCGCGCCGCGTGTGCACTCAGGACCGCCACCGCCGGCACCGCGCCGGGAATACGGGAATGGCGTTACTCACGCCCACAAAGGCGGCAGGACGCGCAGGACGCGCTCGGGGACATTCCTTGCATTTTGGCCGCGCTCGCCGTGCCAGTTCGGGTGGCCGCTCCCCAGGAGCGGGATTCGATACGATGGTTTACACTTTTCGAATTGTTTTTGTTTGAATGTTTCCTTCGAAGCGCCACGCCGGTGGGGTTTGGGGCAGGGACTGGCGCGGTCGGGTGCAGCGGTGGAGAAGACCCACCGCCTGGCTGCGCTGGCTTCCTTCGCGTCGCCCCGCTCCAAGTTTCTCCGCCGCGAGAAACAAACAGAGTTTCGTTTTTTCATTCGGGAGATTAAGCGAGTCGATGCGAGCCGTGGGGCGCGCGGCGGTGGCTACAATAGGTAAGTAAGTGGGGGGTCTCCGTCGTCGTGGAGGCTGCCGCCGCTCCAGCCCCTCCAGCCCCTCCAGCCGGGGGCCTGTTATCTCTCGAGACGCTGCGGCAGAGGAGCCATGAGGGCCGATCGGGATGCAAAGTGGAAAGCGTCCACGGTGGGGCGGGGCGTAGCGGCCCAGGGGGCGCCGCGCCGCGCCGCGCCGCGGGGCTGTTGGTTGATGGTTGATGGCTGTGGCGGGGCCGCGCGTCGTCACAGCCGCGCTGGTTGAGTTACACGCGCTGCTTGCGAACGGCGAGGAAAAACTTTAGGCGCCGCGAGTAAAGTGTCGTCTTTCCCCGCGAGCCGCAGCAGAGCCGCAGCAGAGCCGCAGCAGAGCCGCGGCGAACGCCTGGCTGGTCGCGCCGCCAGGCACGCCAGCCGCCCGGGCGGCCTACCCTGGACCCCGCGGGCGCTCCCCGTCTCGCTCTCTCCGCCCCTCCCTCTCTCGCCGCGCTACTGGCCGGCCCGGCCCCGCCAGTTGCTAAACATACACTGCCAAGGCTGCCTTGGAGAGCGTGTGTGTGAGCGTTCCCGGCCGCGCCCAGGGCAGTCTAAACGCGCTCAAATATTTGACAGGGGGAGGGACCGGCCGGAAAGCACATGGGAGTTTCAAGCATGTGTGCTTTCTTACCTCCACGGTGTTGGCGGTGGTGTATCACACGACGTTCACGAAAATCTACTAAAGTAAAGTCAATAAATGTTGGGAGTTGAATCTTGGACTAGAGGGACTGGAGCCAAAGAGATTGGGGGACTTAGACCCTTTTTATTAGGTCGGCCAAATTCCTTATGCACTTTTTCATGGAGTATTTTCTTGGCTGAGCGATAGCGAAGCCCTTGCCGTGTTTGGGCGCGCTGAAAAGTGACTGGTCGTGAGTCTGTCTGTCTGTCTGTGACTTTGTACTCACCAACGATTCTCAGCAATACAGTAGCTATAGTTTCAAGATTTCGTATTTAACGTCACCTTAGTACCCCCCAACACGAGTTTGTTTCAAATCGTTGTTTAGTATCGTTTGAAATATTAAAAACATACTTTTGAATCAGGTTATTAGCATGGTTAGGTTGGCAGCACTCAGCACCCCCGAATTTCTCATACCTGCGGCCGCGGCTCTAAAATACGGGACAGAAGCAAATAAGCAAATAAAACAAAATAACGAGCAGAAGGGTTTGGAAATGAGATCGGCCATAGTTTTTCCACATTCTAGAATGTTTAAAAACCCCTTTTAGGGTATCAACACAGCGAAATATGGAGAATGGCCGTAAAAATGATTTACGTGTTTCTTTCCCCCTCTCCCCCCCCCCCCTTTCGGGGGGAATCTTCTTCAGGTCAGTGCACTTTGACAGAGCAGTGAAAAAAGAATGTTTTTATTTTGACCTTTTGTATTGTGGGCATCTACTTTTTTCATTTTCTATAGTGTCATCCTCTTTTTTTTAAATTCTCATAGTAGAGGAAATCAGGGAAATGCAAATAATTGTGTTAAAATTTAGCAGGCATACTTATTTTGGACTCGAGAAATACTTTCTTTTTGCAATGCTGCAAGCTGACAAGAGTGCAAAAGTACTAAAAAGGTTTTTTATTAATAGAATCAATGTATGGTTGTGTATTTTTAAATCCTAATAGAGTTTAAATTTGATTTTGGGGTTCAAAGAGACGACTCAGGTTTTGAGCGGTGAGTGAATTAGTGAATGGATTTAATGAGACGATTCCTTTCCTTCACTGAATTTTATATAATGGTACTACTGAGTATTGCATACCTGAGTAAGAAAAATTTGGTGTCGGTTCATTAACCCTTGGGTAGCCTTGGCATTGGACTCTATATGACGAATCACTGGTTTTTGAAAATAATTGGCCCCCTTTAAACTGGTTCAGATCAGCCTCCCCAAAACTGACTCTCTTAATATTAACTGTGATAACGTATGCCAATAAATATTGTTTTATTCACGGTTCACAATGAAAAAATGACAAAATGTTTCATAGATATTACTTAAAAAATTGAGAATTCATTAGTTAAGAAAAAAGAATCGAATAGTGACCCAATCATACGAGTAATCAATTAAGCGATTCAATGCTGGCAATTGAATGTTACTCGACTGAGGGATTCACTTGGTGTGGCATCAGGGAATTGGTGATGAAGAGGGTGCTTCATGAAGACAGTGTAGGAATGTACAGAAATTGAGTCTAGATAGTTGTTTGTAGATTTCAGTGTACTAGTCACAAAAGCTACATTTATTTCAATGCCAAACCTACACTTTCACCTAGAGCTACGAAATTTTGGGGCAAAACTTTCTAATTTGAGAGTCATGCGATTCCCTGCATTTTTCAGTGCGCTGACTTCAATTTTGACTTCAAAATTTGTCCCCAGACCCAAAATTTAACCGTTTTTGGGTCAAATTTTTTAAATTGAATTGCACTTTGATTCTTGCAGTTTTTTGAGTGCTGATAGCAAAAATCACTTCCATTTAGACATCAGACTTATTTTTTCATCCGAAACGAGGTCATTTTGGCCCAAAAATTTTTCAAGTCGAGTCTTATATTATTTCCTGCAGTTTTTGGTGTGCTGAACTCAAAAATGATTTCCCAAAAAATTTTCCCAGCCTCACACTTACCCGAATTTTGACCAATTTTGGCCCAAAAATTTTTTAAATCGATTTTGACATTGATCCCAGCATTTTTTGGGTGTGCTGATAACGAAAATCACTCTCATTTCGACTCCAGACTTATTTTTTCACCCCAAATTAGGTCATTTTGGACCAAAATTTTCAAGTCGATTTTTATATTGTTTCCTGCATTTTTTGATGTGCTGAACTCAAAAATGACCTTCAAATTTTTCCCAGACTCACTTTTAACCCGAATTTTAACCAATTTTGGCCCAAAAATTTTTTAAATCGATTTTGGCATTGACCCCAGCAGTTTGGGGTGTTCTGATAACGAAAATCACTTCCATTTGTACCCCTGGTCTAAAGTTCACTCAATATGGTCCTTAAGATGCACATTTCGTCTTCTCAAGCAAAGTCCAAAGTGCACAAACCATGTCAATTCGCATCGCTCAGCCACACTACGCGCCCAGACTAAAAGGCGCGTACTCCTAGTTTAGGTCGGTCTAGTTATGAAGTACCACCTGAATCTAAACCAAGCAGTCATTTAGAAAAGTTTCTCTTCCAGACTCCTTAAAATATTTTTGAAAATGAATTACTTGAAATATTCCAGACTTTTGAGATTAGAATAACCGGCCGGTTGTGGTCGGCCTAATAGGTAGGTCTAATGATCTGCTCCCCGTCAGCCGTCCCCTCCCTGACAGACTCCCCCTCTCTCTCCCCTCTATCGCTGAAGGCCGTGTCGCGTCGCGTCGTCGCGTCGCGTCGTCGCGTCCCCCGGGGCCCGGGGGTCAGAGGCGCGACCGCCGAAGCCACAAGTCCGTGGCGGACGCCTTGTTAATGGCGAATCTAGGCTCCCAGTGACATCATGATGGGGGGCTTGGCGGGGTGGGGGAAGGGGGCGAGGGCGCGCTCGCAGCATGATCCATGTTGACGGCCAGCCCCCGACAAAGGCGCCATCTCCGTGTCCGTTATTGTGGCGAGAGACAATAAAGCCGTGCCCTGCCCCCGCCGGGCCCACCGCCCCGAGCCTTTCAGCTCACTGATAAATAGAAGTAGAAGGCGCAGGCGTAAAGTAAGTCTGCGTGCCCGGGGCGGGGCGGGGTCATTTACGTGTGAAAGGGACGGGCACGGCACGGCAAGGCGTGTCTGCCGGTATACACACAGCGCAGCGCCCCAGTCACG